CTTCACTTCAACACGAACGGGAAGACCGTTCTTCTACTCAGAACAGAACTGAACGGAACGGAACGATACAACAAAAAAGGAACGAGAACGGAACGATTTATTTGAAGGCCCTAGTTCTAGAACGGAACGAAACGATTTAAAAAAAGTCGGAACGTGCCCAGCCCTAGTGCTCACTGCCCATTGCACATGGCCAAAAGGCAGATAGAATATTGAAAACCAAATATTGCCATTTTTTTTCAGATATTTGATGGTTTGGGTTAAAAAATTATGCACTTAAAAAAAATTCACAATGAGCAAGTTTTATGAAAGGGGTTTACAGAAAAGATTAGACACATTTATTAAGTTACTAAAAAGACACCATTTGTGATATCATTTAACAAAATAAGCATATCAGGATTTTTTTGTCCTTGGTGAATAATGACAACCCATAATCCATTATAGTGGATTTAAATTTTAAAAGATATGACATATTCATATGTTACCTGATTTAAGGCAGCTTTAGAGGGAAACCGTTTTACTTTTTTATTTTCTGATTGTGCAGTGTGATCGTTATTTTTTCTTGAGTTCTGATATTTAACACTAGAATGATAATTTGCTCTAGGCGAGTGTTCTGGTATACTTGCTTCTTTCATACCACTATTCTTTTTGTTGGTAAAAATTGAAACCCCTGCTAGCCAATGTCCCATTGTCTGTATTCTATGAACAAGCATGCCTATCATCTGAAGTATCAAAATAAAGATGAAAAGAATAAGAAATACTGTGTTAATGGGATCCACTTGGTAGTATTTAATTGCAGGCATTAAGTCTGCAGATGAGCTTGTATAGCTATTGTTTCCGGAAATTCCTTCTGAAAGTGGGCAAAATGTCCAATTAAGTCCAAAAGTTCCATCATCTTCAAATGCTTGCTGCATCCAGAAGATTGCAAAGCTCCAGCTTGCATTTAAGAAAAGAAATATTAGGAATATTTCAGTTCTCATTGCCTGTAAGCCTGAAGATATTTCTTTCATTTGAGCTTTCGAAGCTGGAGTTGGTTTCAATGAAGATTTTAAAAACTCTTGATAATTGGATTGATGATCACTTTCTCCTTCCAAAACAAAGCTCCAAAATCCACTTTCTTTCTCATCTAAAACTTTTACAATCATAGTTGTTTTCTTATCAAATGCAATCAGATCTTGAATCCAGCTAGTGCCAAGTCTTAAAATTTCATTAATTTGTTGGGGGGTTTCTTCACAGATTATACCGGATCGCCTTTGTATTTTATAGATGACACTTTTCTTTTTTTCCGATTTTTGTTTTATCTTTACATCATCCTTACTTTCTCTTGTCCCCCAACTAATATCATCTATGTTGAACACACAAAAGAAAGGAAGTAGGAGGAACATGCAAGGAATTGTGATAAAGAAGACTAGTGATGCAAATGCAAATTTTAGAAGATCTGTCTGGAAGAAAAATTTGAGGGACATACTTGGGCGCTGAAACAGGTGTAGGATAGCAACAAACAGAAAGGAACTTGTTGTAATAGATAAACTTAGTATTGAAGGGGTGAGAGTACAGCGTTCAAATTGTTGTTTGAAATCTATAATCATAGAAATCAAAATGGTAATCATAAATAATCCATAAACAAGGCTTATTGCTTTAGCCACAAGGATGTGATTTTTTCTTTGAGAAAATATGGAAACCATAAGGTAAACTAAAATTATCAATGCATTGATAATCAGAGCAGTCCAGTTTGTCATTTGAAATGCAAGTTTTGTTCCTCCCACAAGCATCAAAAACACACTTCCTGGTCCAATGGAAGATGCACTTAAAATAAGCAATTGATAAAGAATATGAAGAATTGATAGATGTCCATGTTTTAGAAGAGTTGGTCCTCCATTATAAAGCAAATCCCAAATATTAGCCACAGTTGATGGAGACCATCTTCTCCTTTGGTTATAAAACTCATCAAAGGTTTCAGGGCATGCAGTTTCACAGTGGCTGAGAGCAGAATACTGTATCTTCCACCCTCTTTCAATCAAAAGAGTACAAAGCCATCTATCTTCACCTTGATCATACTGAACATAATGCATGGATTCACTTGACTCAGTAAGATATCTCTCAATGGAACTCTTTTCCAATTTCTTTGCATAGTTATTGTGCACATCATCTGTGTATCCATAGTCCACTTCACTCTCTGAGTCCACTATCAATTTTTGATCATAACTAGATGGATGAATTAAAGCCTTTAACCGAATGAGAGAAAAACAGCCTGGACTACACAGTACATTACCAAGAATACTCTCAGTAGATTTCTGCAACCAGTGACCCAACTGATATTCAAATTTCTGATATATGGGGATAAAGCCTTTACCAACTGGATGAATTTGACCGCAAACTGCACCAACTTTAGGGTCCTGCTTTGCAACATCTATTAATTTCTCAACAGCATCAAAGTTAAAAATTATATCACCATCTAAAGCTAGAATATATTCATTTTCATCAAGATGCTTTTTCATTCTGAAGCTCAGATTGCACAGATGTTCTTTTAAGAAAAATGTAATGTACATACATTGACTCCATCTTTTCTTATTTTTAATTTTAACTTTATCCTTCAGGTGACAAACAAATGTAGTACCCTGTATTTTCCACTGTAATTCACCACCATATGGAGTTTCTATTATTGTGCAAGTTTGTTCTTGAAACACATCTTTCATGGCAGTTAAGAATTCTTTGACATATGAGTTTAGTTCGCCATTAGAGAATGCATCATCAAAAAAAATATGTGTCTCCCAAATACAACCATGGCGATTTCCTCCAATGGTATTGAGTTTTGTTATGGTGCCTTTGACAGATTTAAGAAGCTTCATCATTTCCTTTCCTGTTTCATGCCACATTGTAGCACAGGCTTTGATTTTCACTTTTCTACAACGTATTCCTGAACCTGACACATTAGTAATTTTCTCGTTAGATCTTCTCTGAATTAGTAATGCCTGATCTATGAGTATAGAGTTATAGTATAAGCTTGAGAACATGGTGTCTGACTTAGCCATGATTGAAGTGGTTTGCACCCAAATATGCCTACAAATCCACAATTCAGCCACAAATACGAGTATGTAGACTATTTTGAATAGGCTGTAAAACTCATCTTTAGATGTTCCACATGAAAATATTATACCGCTAGGGATAACTGGAGACAGTTTACATTGATCGCTTAAGTCATCACAAACAAACAATGCTATAGCATAAGTCAGAGTTATTGAAAGAATAACAGGAAGTCCCAAAGCTATTTCTATCTGCAATATCTTTATTTGGCTTTTACATCCTATTATGATTGATTTGTAAGCTAGAAATGTTGAACCAATTTGAATAAGCATAACAAGAACTGGATAAATTCTACCAAGAGATGTTGTTTCAATGTCAATCCTCCAGTCTGTGAAACTATTTTTGTTGTCTGGAAATTTAAAAACAAGATATGAAGTGTTATCCTTATTGGTAATGTTATCCCTATTAGTACAATTGTAACTAGTACAATTTAAACTGATCCATGGGTCTTCACTGCAACACTCATTGTTAACAAAAGGGCAATCTTGCTTTCCAACAAATACTTTATCTCCAGGACACTGAACATAGCTTAAGCTTGGTACATCTGGAAGATAAGATGTACAATTTCGTACCCAAAATCCAGAACAGTCATTTTGATCAGGATATGCTACGGTTGATCCTGGAAAGCAAATGTCCATGGTATCATTTAATGGTAGAAAGGGTGGTGATGGTGGCTTATACTGTAATATGACTTGGTTATCAAATTCAAATCCCATTGTGTCAGTGTTGTTTTTCAATTCATCTTGTACGTAAAGAACTATTATGAATCCAACTGAATAGGCGAAAATTTTCCAATATGATGAAATCATGGTTGTGAGAGTATTGTACTTAAAAAGTTTTGTGTTTTTTTCTTTTGTTACCCTGTCAGGAAAGAAGCATCTCCACCATGTAAAAGAGGCTAAAGTTAATCCTAAAGGTAAAATCCAGTCAACATCATCAGTACTATATACAACCATCAGTACTAATCCTGTGACTCCAATTACCAGACTCAAAATATCAAGAACCAAATAAACTATTTTTCGTTCTTCTGCCATAAAAATTCGCGAAATGTTTGGAACAAATAAACAACAATTAAACATTATTAGAATGTTTACAATGGATAAAGATGGCAGTGTAACAAAGACTAGCAAGAGCATACCAGTGACATGTAAGGTTTGGCAAAGGATCTCCAAACATATACTAAACCAGTATATCTCTTCTTTAATTCTCCAGATGATGTTCAGAGATTGATAAGTGGTAATCATCATACTTAGAACTTCAGGAAATATCAGTATCGTAAATATGCAAAGCTTCCATGTGAGAGTTGGAACACTTTCAAAGGATGTCTCATATTTTTTACAAACCTCAAGGTCACAGATTGGAACTGTTTCATTATTCATCTTCAGCTGGGAAATTAAAAACAATGATGTTCCTTTACTAAACAAATAAATTATTAATAATCTTAAAACAGTCATTATTTAAGAATTTATTTTATCTCATTTTCAGATAATTATTACTATCTACATATTTTTATTATCAGTTTCATGAACCCAAGAAAAAGAGTATACTTTTTGGTTGACACAAATAAGTAACAGTTTATCTTAGCAAACATGTTCAAATTAGATAAATATTTAATCATTTAAATATAAAAACTGGGAATTTATATTACAATGTAACACATCACCAAGTTCCCTTATAAATTTAAACATTTTACCACCTTGTTCAAAAAATTTAGTCCCTTACTCCCAATTTGATTTAATATGTGAAACACCAAAAAACTATTGTAAGTAAAAACCCCAGTAAATTAAATCTGTTTCACTATTAAAAATAATATGTAAATAATTTTTAAAAAATTGGTAACTGAGATTACCTAATGATTAAAAGTCCAGTTGAAATAGTCAAATTAAAGATAATCCATATAAGCTTAATTACTTTATCCCACCAGACCCCCATCTTTAATACACTTATAAGACCTGAAATGTCAAAAGTTTAAGATTTATTAAAATATTCTATAATTTGTTTAATCTGCAAAATCAAAAATACAAAGAACCATTACCATAAAACTTACTTCACTTTTTAAACATGCTTTATTTAACATTGGAAGCCCTTTTTCAAATTTCTTATCTCTTCGTTGACTAAATTACTATACTAATGTTGTAACATAAATTTGCCATTAAATGTAAGGTGTAGGATTATAATTTCAAAAATAAAGTTTTTTTTAAAAGTTTGGTTTGGCATCTATCATGCCACATATGCACTTTACAAAGTGAAAACTTATGGAAAACAAATTGCTTCCACATTTTTGTACCCTTTATATCATATAACTTATTTTTTTTTATAAACCAAACATATTTTCTTGTTTAAAACATAATTAGTGTACTGTATAAGTCAAAGTAGCAAATGTTGTGAAACTTATTAGAAAAATTAATTTAACATTAATTTAACTTCATGGGATAACTTTTCTTTTAAAAATTAAACTAAAAATTCATACCCTCTTAGGAAAATGTGAAAATCTTGCTCTGCAGGAACAGCAGATTAAGTGTTAGATGTCCTCACCATCACAGTTCAAAGCTAACAGAATAATTATAAGATAAGAAATATGTGTAATTTGTTGATACAAAATAGGATTAATGAATTAAGTTAAACTTAGTGATGGAAATATAAAATTGTTTATTTTAAGCTTTTGAAAAGGCTCAAAATTTTTTTGGGATAAAACTTTTATTGCAGCTAATGCAACCTTTTAAAGTTTACTTTTAACAGTATCTAAACTGCTGCAAAATTTATTGTTCCATATTAAATTTAAAAAATGCAAAAGTTGAGAAAAACGAACACAAACTCAACGATGTTCGGTATAAATGTTAAATTTGGCAATATTAAATTCGTTTTAGTTACAACTGTATTTTTAACAATTTTTAAAGAAAAGTGTTTCTAAAATTTATTTAAATAAAAGGTTGCATCCAGATGTAACATTTCTTAACTTTTCCATTCATTTTCATTTCTTGATAATATTCAAAAACTTTGTTCGATGACAGCACTTTAAGTAGCCCTACTACCTTCTATTGAAAGATTGAATTGAAAAATAAATATTTTATGTGTAGACTGGGCATTCACATTGACAAAAATCTCTGTTGAATTATTTTAATTGTCAATGGAATTTTCTGTCAATTTTTATAAGAACTACAATCCGTAAAATGACTTCTCCATCCCTGCTCAGTCCTGTTAAATGTGTACAAGGTTTGTGTTATCTTTCACAAGATTTTGCTAAAAACTTTTATAAGCTTGTGCAAATCTATTTTTTTAGTAAAACAAAAAAACTAAATCATTTATGAAAATATAGAGATGCTGGAACTGCAGAAATTGTGAGATTGTCTAGATGGTTTCTGGCTTTCTTTACAAATATAACTTTTGAAATTAATTTCAATTTAAAGCCTAAAATTTTGTAAAGGGTGCAAATCATTTGTTAAAGTTTCAAATCAACTTACAAAAGAAATGTGGCTCAAGTGATAATACCTATTCTGATAACACTAATAGTTCCTTTAAAGTGACTTTTATTATTTTCTATTTACCATCAATTTAGACACAGTAAAATAAATTGTACATATAATTGTCTCTAGAAAAAGTCAATAGGGATAGTTAATTTAATTTATTTAATTAATTTAGAATAAAATTTTAGCCTGAAAAGGTCTTTATATAATTGGCATAGGATTGAAATGCTAACGGCTAAAAATGGTCAACAAAATGTAAAAAATATATTTTCTTGTTTTAAACAAATATCAAAGTGTAACACATGTTTCTACATCACTTTTTCAAGGGATTTTCAAATATATAGTTTTTAGATCTAGGGCTACTTTAGTTTTTTTTTGTTTTAAAACAGACTGGACATTTTACCGCTCTCTACCCTAACCTATGCATTAAAAAAATGTTTTTTTACAAAACTTCCTTTAAATTTCTATTCATAAGAGTAACTAAAATTCACAGTGAAAATGTCAAAAATGACAGTTCTAGAAAAAAACACTAGAGGGGGGCCTGTTTAAGGTTTAAATAGTGAATAATTTATGTAGAATAGACTCAGTATTCCTTATTTTCTTAGTCCAAGAACTGATAATTTTTGGTTGGCTTTGTCAGTGTCTCCAAAAGTATTTTGACAAAAAAATTTAAACTATTATATTTATAATTTGCTTGTCTGTTTTTCTGTCTCTTTGTTGCCAATATACGTCAAAAAGGCTGAACTGATACGGCCCATTTTTTGTTCTTACAAAAATTTAGATCTTTTTTAATCCACTGAAAAATCTATAAATCGACAAATTTTTTTTTAATGATTGAAGATGAAGATGTTTGAAGAGAAAATGCCTTAGACAGAATAACATTAAAAAGTTAAAATCAAAGATGTGCATAAAGAGCCCTGAATGTAGGGAAATGGGCATAGTTTTTGTGAAAAAACAAAATGTTTAAAATGAATGAAATTTTTCATGAAAAATTGTGTCCTTCAGAAAAAAACGATGGACAAACGATTTTGTTGGTTCTGAGAAATGAAAAGCGATCATTGTTTAAAAACATAGGAAATAAAACTAATGTTTTTAAATCTTTTGAAAGAACTTGAAAAATATATAGATTTTTTACTGAACTAAAAAATTTTCCAATAGAATTTAAGAAAACAATCTTTTTTACTTAACAAACGATTTTTCCTCTTTAATATATTTTTATAGTGAAGGCCTGATTTTTTTGGCACAAAATTTGAAAAACTTTTGTTTTTTACTGAACCAATCATTTTTTGAACGAACCATTTCACTGAACAATCGATTTTGCTAAACAAACAGTTTACTTAATGATTGTTCAGTAAGAAAACGAACGAAATAGATGAAAAGAGAAGGATATTTTTGAAAACAAAGGAAGTCATTTTTTTACTGATTGAAATAAAATGAACGAAATGGGTCGTTCACGAAAGATGAACGAACAAAATAAAAAAAACCTGAATGCATTAAAAGCACACAGAAGCAATACAATGAAATTTTCCAAATACAATGACCAGGTCCATTTGGATAATTTTAAAATTCTGAATATAAGCGATACCAAGCATTCTGTGTTTTCTTTGATTAAGGGAAGGTGTGTGGGTTGTTGCTTGTGGTGTAGTAAACGGGTGTATATGTGTGTGTAGAGTGTAAACCATTGTGAGGTTGTAGTGTGTCCCCTCCTCTTTCTCTCCCTCTCTCCCTCTGCAGAGAATATCTCTCAGTTTTATTGGTGAGGGATCCATGTTCAGAGGTTGTCCTCTACTCTCTCTCTCTCTCTCTGCAGATTTTTAATCTTGTATATCAGACAGTACTGGAGTAGAGTAAGTACTAGGAGGTACACCATGCGTAATTTCTTGGTAAATAAAACAAATGTGTCTTGGAAAAATTGTGGCATTTAATAGTATGATTTTTGATAACACAATGATAAAATATCCTGGAATTTCCAAATTGTGGTCTGTCTTTTTAATTCTTTATTTCTTTATTTGTGTGTGGATAACCCTTATGAGTGTCATATCAATCTGATAGCAATTTTATCCTCAGCTGATGATTTTCAAGTATAAGTTTTTAATTGTACGCAATAATACAAAATTATGCGATTTTTTTTCTTCTCTAAATTACCCCTCCCACTTAAATATTCTAGGGGTGGGGCAAAACATTAACTGTAAATTCAAAACATTTGGCTTCTTGGATAAAGGTACACATACAGTCCAATTACCTAACAAGTAATAATTTAGCTCTCCTGCTTACAAAACTAGCAGGAAAAAACCCGCAAATCAATTTTTTTATACGTTCTTCAGTTTCAGATTCAAAAAGTGTGATAGTTGTGAGTTCTTTGGGTTTACAGGTCTAGGTGGGGCACTGCCTCCCTCCCTGTATACGCCCTTGGTAGATATTTCAAAAATATCAAAAATATACAAGAAGAAATTTATTCAATTCTTGAGTGTTCCTTGTAAAACAAAGAAGAGTGTTTATATAGCTGTATTTAAACTTTATATTGAGCATCAAATATTTTAAAATTGAGATTGACATTTCCAACTTTAAGTGGTTTCTAACTTAAAATATCTAAAACTTCCATTTTTAGACCCAAATATTGCCATACAAGACAGAAACATTCAATTTTTTATATTTACTTTTAGCTACGATCAGTTTGATAAGTTCGTGGATAAATAAATAACTTTATTAACTGACTATAATCTGATTTGTAAATTTTTAATATCGAAAATTATATATATTGAGATGACGTGGAATAATCTGCTCCTCATGCCGCGTCTCTACATCCGGCTTGGTATAAATCGTCTTCCGCCACATACTTTCCATTCAAAATCAAATTCGATATAAATCAACTACTTAAAGTTTAGTTCTCATCAAACCACCTAGGCCAAAATGGTAAAGGTTTTACCAGTAATTATTTTAAAGAACAGAAAATCAACATATTTTGTGATATATTGCTAATTTAAAATGCTCAAAAAAGGCCGATTAATTCCTGATTTTATAAACCTCTATTGGCTGGGTTCCAGGTTATCCAGATTGTTTAATTGAATCATTCTTACCAAAAATTTACATACAAAGGTGTTGGGCCATATCCCAAACGCAATTCTTCCCCAAGCAAATTCACTAATCCCTGATTTCCCCAATGTCAACTTACTCTTGGGGGAGTTGTGACCAGGGAAATTTTTGATTGGGAAAAATGTTGTTGGGGAAACTACCGGTTTGGGAAACTGCTGGTTTGGGAAACTGCTGGTTTGGGAAACTGCTACCGCGCTAAGCCTTGGAATTGTAAGCTTAGCCGGATATGAAACACACAAGTTTCGCCTTCATATAAAATAACTTTAGCTTAGTTTCATTTGCAATAAATGAGTTTAAAAAGTTTATAATTATGTGGAATATTTGAGTCAACTTATTTGATAAATGAGTAAAGTTTTGGAAGGAATTTTGACAATCTTTTATATATTTTATCAGAAGCTGAAAGAACTGCAGACAGTTTTATAAAATATATAGCTTGGGTACCTAGCTTTGCTACTTTATTTATTTAAATTTTGCTTTTTAGAATTCTAAAAAGTTCAATTTAATTGAATTTTATGAAACTTTTAAATTTAATTTATTTCTATTGATAGCATTCTAATTTTTTTTCTATGGTAAATATGTAAAACATGAAATTAAAAGGTTTAACAACCCAATTTTTGGAGTTCAATGCTTTCCTAAAAGTAAAACAAAATAATTCTTCAGTAAATTTAATGTCAATAAAATTCATAATTCAGAAATTACAATTTTATTGATACATTTTTCTCAATTTCACCCCCCTTTTTTGAATTCAGTTTAAAGTTTTTTTTTGTAATCTTTCTCTTCTATAAAGCATATACCCTTTTAATTGGTAACCTTAGATTCTTCCATTTTCCAATCTTTTTCCAATTTTCTAACAAAAGAGGAGAATTTAAAATTACAAAGCCTGCTTTCATCTGTATATAAAGTATATATAAAGTAAATATAAAGTATAAGTTTATCAACTGAGGATTACCGCAAGGCATGAAATATCCATAGATAAGTAAATAAACATAGATAGCTTATGTAAGCAAAATCACCAAAAATTGTACAGTCCGCGAACTCATACTTCTAGGGGTCAAAGTGTACTTCAATGATAAGCGGGGGGGGTTGGTGTTTTAATGGATTTCATAATTATTAAACCACTTAGGAGTGAATTTTATTTTGAGAATATCATATTATTTCACTGAGCAAAATATCATATTGACGAGAACTGAAGAAGGACATGAGAAAGACTAAACTGTGGAAGACGATGTTTCGCGGCCTCCAAAACAGGGTTCCACAACTGGAGATGAACGCGGAATTATCCTGATCCTCGTGAATCTATCTTGAGTAGTTATGTAAAAGTTTTGCTGGATAAAGAAATATATATAGAAATACTTCTAACCTAGTTTTGATAGAGTCCGTCCGTCCGACCTCTATATTGGTGACCCCTACGAAGAACATTCAGTGATTTTTTTGTCCAGTACTCCGAACTTTTCTAGTACTTCGTGAAGATGACGGATNTACTCAGCAATATTTCATAATTAAAAGTTATAAAGAAGACGACAACAATTTTGACGTTTACTGGTTACCCTTGTAGCTGTCACGAAAGTACACTTTGAACTCCCTTCCAGGCTGAAAGGGACTGAAAAAATTCATACCGAGAGATTCTTTTAATTCCTCTCTATATATTCTCTATGGTTAAAGCATGGTTAGGATCGGATTGAAAAAGGCGAGAATTGATTTGTTACTGGAAACTTTAAATTTACTTTTACTTTCAATATATTTTTCCTCCCCCAAGGAAAATAATACAATTTCATAGTAAATACAGAAAAAAACTGGTTTCATCAAAATTGTTTTTTTTTCTTTAAAATATTGTTATATGTTTCAGTAAAAATGGTTCCAGTTCTACTGTTGTGCAGTATAGTAGTCCTGAATGGATGTGCGGTGAATGCAGTTGAGAAACCAGCTCAGGAATTCAGCATATTTTCAACCTTAAACTTTATATCTTCATCTTTAGGATAAACCAAGTTGAGTTGAACGTCTGAAGTATTTTCTTCCGCAATTAAGAATTATTATTTACTTTCATATTTCAAACTATAAAATAGGTTTGAACTGGTTTTCACCATCCGTTAGCAATGATATAATGGTTTTAAAAAAATTTAGTTTGTGGTAAAAAATCAATTAGTTGAAGATAGCAACGTTTTTGACCCGCTTATAAACATTCAAGTTTTTGATGGCTTTTAAGAGACACAACAAAAATCTTATACCTTTTATCTTAACAATATTCTGTAAACGTTCGTGTTTACACTTTATTAAACCCTAATCTAAAGAAATATATAACTTTAACCAACGAATTCCTAAATTGATAAAAAATCAGTGATTTCTAAATAAAAATTTCATAATTGATAATTTGTTTCAATTTATGATTGTTTACACTTAAAATTAAAAATCTTTAAAATTCTAACGATTTATTTTATTATATTTTCATGTTTTAGTATTGATCTAATTTGTTTAATTAGTTAATATTGATTTTCAGAATACTCCACAAAAGTATGAAAAGTTATACATCATATACATATACATATTATACATATTATACATATTATACATATTATACATACAAAGTTGCATATTCCGAAAGTTTGCTTTTGCTACACGAAGCCAAATGTTTACTCTAACAGAGATAAAATAAACAATGGGACAAAACCATACCAAACCAAACCAAATCAAACCATACCAAACCAAACCAAACCGAATCAAACCAAACATAACCAAACCAAATCAAAACAAACTAAAACAAATCAAACCATACCATATCAAACCAAAACTAACCTAACCAAACTAAACCAAACCAAACTAAACCAAACCAAACTAAACCAAACCAAACTAAACCAAACCAAACCAAACTAAACCAAACCAAACCAAACTAAACCAAACCAAACCAAACCAAACTAAACCAAACCAAACTAAACCAAACCAAACTAACCCAAACCAAACCAAACGTAACCAAACCAAAAAAAAAACAAAAAAAGAAAACCAAATAAAACCTAACCAAACCAAACAAACCCAACCCAACCCAATCCAAACCCAAACAAAACAAAACCTACAAAATCAAACTTAATCAAAAAAATTTTTATGCAGTATTTAAAATAAAAACACAAAAAAATTTATTTAATTTTATCATGTTCTCATGAGAGTGGAATTTAAAAGAATCAGTATGATTCAACTTTACGTTTAAATCTGCAAATAGACCTTTGCAAAAGAGTAAACAAAGAAAAATAAACATTCCACGGATATCAATGGAATAAAAAAATCAAATTTGATATTTCCAAAATTAACATTTTTACAATTTGTCGGGGACTTCAAAAGAAACATTACGCATTCATAGAACTAAAAAATGGGAATGACCGGCAATGTATGGTAGTTGAACTGAGTATTGTGGAGAAATTTTTAAGGGATCATTTGAGACCTATAAAACGTTTTTATGGTGCATATTTGTTCAGTAAGAACGCAAATTCAATCTTTAAAACCCTCATAGATTGTTAATTTTTGATGGATGATTTGAGAATCTGTTTTTAAAAAATCATTCAATAACGAAGACGAAAAATGTAACAAAAATTCTACAGTAAACTAATTAGTTGTTTCGGAACACCTTGAGAAATTAAAAATTAACTATTATCATCGAAAAAGGGTAATTAATCTAATTCAGTTAATAGTTCCTGTCATCTCTCCTCTTTCACAAACGTTTTCTTTATATTTCCCGGAATTTTTATTGAAAAGACGACATTTGAAGAATTTGAAGAAAATTGCGAACAAATTCATAAAGTATAAGAAATCCAATATAATAATGAAAACGAAATAATTGATTCTAACATTGATTTATTGAGAAGATTTCAATTGAGAAATATGTTCCTAAACATCTGATTAGTTTATTGTCGATTTTTTTTTACATTTTTTGTCGTCGTTTTCAATTATTTAAAAAAATTATTCTCAAAACGTAACCACCCAAATGGATGATTTTAAACGTAGACTTTGCGCTCAAACTCAGTAATTATACATTATAAAAACGGTTTATATGTCTCAAATGAATCCTAAAAATGTCTCAACAATAATACTGCACTCTCAGTTTAACTACCATACATTGCCGGTCTCTCTCTTTAATCTGAACGTAATAGCACATAACCGGCCCCACACTTAATCTTTTTAATGAATATCAGGATAAACTAAGTTATTAGACGTCTTAATTAAACTCTAGTTGTCGCATCCTTAATTATTTCTTTGCAGTCGTTACCTGTGTTTGGTATTAAATCATGATTTTAGTTAAAGTGTCCGTCGTTGCCGGTGGAATTTCAAAAATTTCAAAAATTTGTTCATTCCATGTCAACTCCAAGGGTACCCTAGAAAAAAGTCTTCAAATCATGTTTTGAATAATTATTTTCTTAATACTCAGCGATATTTCATAATTAAAAGTTATAAAGAAGACGACAACAATTTTGATGTTTACTGGTTACCCTTGTAGCTGTCACGAAAAAAAAACATACTTTTCATGATTGGAAAACAATGTAAAAAGTATTTATTCACGGGATTAGGGTTGATTCCTCGTCCTAGTATAAATACTTGGTGATTATAAACAATTTATATATATATATACATATCATCGAAATCTTTATTATATGATAGATTTAAGGCGGTTAATTATATAATTCAATCCAAGAAAAATAACAATTTAAATTTACTTTTTACAGTCCATTTTCCAATTATGTTGAATATACAGCTGCAGGGTGGAGTAGAGCAGGAGATGGTTCTAGAGATTGGAGACGATGTTTTAGTTCGAAGAAAACGAGCAGCAGGTCAAACATTTAAAAAAAAATCACATTTCCTTCACGGTTTTTCTTTATAACTTAAAAATGGCTTAAACTAGAACAGAACGCTCAAATATCTTTACTTCATAGTTGTGAAGAAATTTAGCCAAGTTTTGTTATGCGTTGAGTAGAGTGGAAGACGGTGAAACGGCTGGTATGTTAGACAAAAATAGGCAAAAGTCCAATTGGGGAACACAATCATGCAAACCCACTGATAATTCATGCAAAATGATTATTTTGAGTTTAAAAATCGTAAAAGTTAAATCATTTGAAAAGGACTTTATTTCGAAGGTCTTTACTACTTATGGATTTCAAAATGTTGAATTTTTTTTCTTCAGATATTTGTAAATACGGGAAAGGAACCTGGTCACCTTGCAACTCTCTGACGAAGGTAAACAAGAATTCTACGGTAATAATAGTCAAAATAAAGGGATGGTACGTGCGCTTGCCTCTTTGAATTACAAGAAAAAAGAGATTTGTAAAGTTTTTAGTGTTAGGTTAGGTAAAGACACTTTCTGGGCCGAGCGCTGTGGCTAGGACAAGCTCGGGGGTTGAGCGCCGCGGCTAGGACAGGCTAGGGGGCCGAGCACGGCGGCTAGAACAGAGTTTCTCTAGTCTCTCTGTCTTGTAGTTCAGCGCGACATGCACTTATAACTTCCTTGGGCTGCTGCTAAAATAAAGTTGAACTTTAAAAATGTAGAATAGGAAGACGATATTTAAGTAATCTCATGTCTATTCGATGCAGTTGAAAGCTTGAAAATCTAATTATTTTAAATCTGATTTTCTAATCCCTTTATCTTGAATTCCGATGTCGTAGACCTTTACTTTTTGTAACTATGATATCTGTAAGTAACAATAGTCAAAGTTTTAAATATCAAACGTTTACACCATCAGGATGCAAAGATATATAGGGATTTGAATACTAGAATTTGTGGTAAGCCTAACTTAACATATTCCACAGTATTATGGATCCCACTTCAACATGAAGATTGGAACATATTTTACAGTGATAATTGTTAAACAGCGGAATAAATTTTCTATTTGCCTGATTTTTTTTCAATTAGATATGCGTTTTACATTTAATTATTTCTCTAAATATGTTCCCGCAAAATTTTGTGAGAAATATTAGCAGAGCTACATACAGTCGATACAAAATCTTATTTTAAGAATTTCTAATTGTAAAAGCAAAAACAACTTTTCTCTGGATGTAGATGATTAGGATTAAGATTGAGGAAGGTTAAATCATGGTAGAAGGAGGGGGGGCTTATAGTTTTTTTAACGTACCAAATTATATGCTTTTAGTGTTATTAATAGTTAATTGGATGTACATAAGTGAGCAAGGGTGAAGAGGGATAAGGGATCGGGGTTTTCTGGAGAGAGGTAGAGAAAAGGGGGAAAGAGAGTATAGGGAGGGGGGGGGGAGACTAGTGCGTTGTATGATTCATTACATTGTAAATATTTACTTTAAAGCTTCAGGTATAATCCTAGCTAAAGGATTTATTTAACAAACAAGCAAGGGAGATTTTACTAAAAAATCCCGGGTAATAAAAAAGATTTAAGATGATTTTTGTTAAAGTACATACATAAGAGCTTGCAACAATAAGATATTTCTACGTATTAAATTTTTTTTTACTTTCAGAAGTCTCGGTACAATTTTCTTTTGCAAATACTCAAAAGAGATTTATTTTTTTTGCGGGTTTAGCATAATTTAGTTGTTTATAAACTAATTTCCTAAAATTTACTCAATTCTATTTTCGTTTAAAGCGTCTAATGACACACTATTGTTGTGTTTTAATAGTCGCAACTTTGTCGAATTTTCCCAGCTGAATTAAGTTTTGCCAAAATACTTCTAATCCCTATATTATATATCTTTTCAACCCAATGTCAAGGTTGGAAATATCGAAGTTTTACACAATCAGGTTGCAATGATAATGATATTCAAATCAGAGTTTTTGACTAAACTGTTCCCTTTGTAGTAACTTAGCATATTTGTGTTAACAAGTTATCTTTGTAAAGATAAAATTTTGTCTGAATGGAAATATTTTTTATTTGGGACACCCGGCCTATCTATATATAATATTGGACATATTGTGAGGGGAAGGAAGGGGAGGGGGGGTTAAGAGCTTTTAAAACAAGATTTGTATTTACATATTTTACTTAGAAATATATCTATTCATAAATTTAGAATTTATATTTGAATATTTCAATTTTCCAACGGTTCAATACTAAACGAATACCCAATAGGACTGTAAAGGAAATATGAAAGGGGGTATAGGCTGAAACGTGAGAATCTGAGGAGTTGATTGAGACCTATAAGGGTTCTATCTGATGTTCTTGTCACGAGAAATTGACTTAAAACTATGTCAAAATTATACCAAAACGTAAGTATGTAAGATATATGTTCGTATCACGTGACCAGAACTCCCACTAATGACAGTGGAATATACTAGTCACATGATACAGACGGGAGGCACGTGATATTAATACTGCACTGCTATTGGTTGGAGTGCTGGTGACAGGGTTTGGACGTATAAATAATATTATGAATTATATCTATCAAAATTCAAAAATTATTAAATTCAAATGATAATTGGAGCAAACTTGAGTTTCTAAGGCTCCTCTGGGATATCGTCAATTTTAGATTGGTTGCATATTTGTTGAATACGATTTGTTTAATTACGAATCTTAAACACAATCTTACATATATATATATATATGTTTGGTATAATTTTGACACAGTTTTTCATCAATTTCTCGAGACAGAACCATAAGATAGATCTCTCAATCAACACTTGAGATTCTCAGGTTTTAGTCTATCCCCCTTTCATTTTCCTTTACAATCCCTTAAAGTAGATATTTAGCAAGTGTGAATGTTTATTGTTTTAAATTTTAATACTTTCTCAATATATTTTTCTCGTTTCAAATGATCAGCAAAAATAGCGTTTTCTTTAAAAACGAAAAAAGAAAAAAAAATTTTTAATAATTTTAAAAATTATTTCTTCAACTAATCAAAATTTTTTCAAAAAATTCAAAACAACATCAAAATAGGTGTTAGTTTCGCGTAAATCTCTGAAACGAATTCTTAAACTAAAAAATATGATTTGGAAAGTCTTCTTGAAACATTATGCCCATCCCTGTTTTTAATAAAGTAAAAGGATGTTATTGTTTACTAAACCTTAGATCTAGATTAATTCTCCTTACCTCCCTGTAACCTAATTATCTACAGGGGTAATTGATGACGACTTTATCCTGACAATTAATTGTAAACTAAGTTAATTTCAAACATGGGCTCTATCTACACTTAACTGTGTGTGTAATATAGGGTTAACTATAAAGTATATTACGCGACTACGCGATTTCCCTAAAGACCTAATGAAGTTTTGATAAGTACCGTGCTGTTTTTCTCCGGGCCTGTTGTAAGATCTTTTCTTCCCTTCTCTCTCCATACTAAAGAAATACAGGATAGCTCCAAACTTTATTGAACCAAGCAATCTTCAATCTGATAAAAAATAAAGCTTGGTAACTACATGATTTGACACTGAAGATAGCAATTATTCTGAAGTCTTATCCTTTGTGGGTAAAACCCTGTAGAATATGAACAGTTTGCCAACATTTTAAGTTCAATGAGGTGGTAAATAGAAGCCATATACATACTTTTATAACCAAAATTTGTTTTGGCTCNTAGTGCCAAGTTTAGGGAAGATAATTTTGTTTAGACTGACAAACCCTACTAGCTACTGCATGTCCAATGAAAAAGCCATTCTTTGGTAGAAATATCTTAACGCTCAATTAGTCATTGGTCCATTTTATGCTGTAAATGGGGTACACACCTCTCATTGGTTGTATGTGAAAACTTTGAGTTAAGAAAAAAATTTCCGTACATTAATCAACATCGTACCCAGCCAACATAAAGCTGTTGCATAAAGTGTACTAGCTCCACGGAATGATGGTTGATCTTTTATTTATTTATTTATTTATTAAAAACCGTATTCACTAGAGGGGCGGTTACGATTAAGTATATGAATAAGACCTATATAAGACCAGGCAAACCTTGTATTTGTTCGGATCAAGGTTGTAATGCAAGGAAAGTTATTTCAGAGGTGTACGCATCTTTTGCACTGCAGTGTACTGTCTCTGGGCGGTAATGTAAACACAAGACCGTAAGACGGATGTCAAAGCCTGACATGAAATCCATCTTTCACATAAAAATTAATGAAATATTCTCGTCATAGAAAACTATTATGTGAATTATCAAAATTATCAAATTTTAATGCTTTTTACCTCCTCGGATACTAAACGAACACATGATGCATCTATTCTTGTTTACAAATTCCGCCCAGAGAGATCTGGTTTTAATATGTACGCAGAGTATACGCAACTGCAATAAACTTTCCTTGCATTAAAACCTTGGTTCGGATCATGTCACTGATGGGGTATATATATACCTATATTTGTTAATATCCAAGCTCTAACGTTATATTCCAGTTTTTTCGTCTAATTACAAGTAATTTTTTAATTTTGACTCAATTTTAATCAAACATTGATTTTCATATTTTTTTCTGTAATTTAAACGAAAACTCAATAATAGAAAAATAATGGTTTCAACGTGTACGTTACGAATTACCAAAGCTTTAAAAAGCACATTTAGTTCCATAAAAATGTCATTTAAATATCTTATAAGAAATAAAAAGAATTATTATGAGAAAGACTTTCTGGGTTATGATTTTAACCAATGGAAAATATTTATATTTACAATATAATTTTGAATCAGTTTCAAACTTTCTCTTAACGGATCCATAGAAAAATATACAATATAAATATAGAACCAATCTTTGAAAAGGAATTGAGTCTTTGCCACAAACTCTGATTTAATAACCCCTGTTCCCTATATCTTTGCAACCTAATGGCTTAGACCTATAGATATTTCAAACCGTGAAATCTGTTACATCAAATAATCTTAAGTTTGCAACATCAAAGTTCACATAGACAATTTCTTTGATTAAGGATTTTCCTTTATTAACTTTTATTTTCAGAAGCACTCCTGTTGATACCATTATTTTGATTAGAATTACAAAGATAGTAACTATAGCTAATGGATATAAAGTATAAATAATGCACCCAGATAGAGAATAATATCATTTAGAAAACAGTACATGCCATTCAAGAGATAGTTCTACATATTATTAGTCTACATAAATGCTATGAAAATACTTATAGCTTACAATCCACCCAGAAACTGCAATACATTTTAATAGGTTCATCATGAATCTAATAAAATCTAGAATTCTAAATACAATTTAGTTCTGTGAATTTCAGAAAAATAAATGCATTGCACATTGCACAAACACAGCTTGCAAATGAAACCTAGATTCATATTTCATTTTCCATTTTGAAATCTTTGCTAAATTTTAAAAAATGTGCAGGAATTAAAGGGACTGTAAGCGTAATTTTCAGCGACCCTCCAAAGACCCTCTAAATGCCATATTTACAATAGAATCCTTCAAAGATTTATCTGATCAATCTATTTACACTTGGAGTTTTTTTTACAAAAGTGACTTGCGAAATTCTACTGCAGTAGAACATATTGGAATTATCAGAAATAAACACTTTCAAACCTAGAAAACATCAACATCTTTCACATTATTGATTGGTTAAAGTTTTCAAGGGTACCGCAGTGAATCGGGCATTATCATCTTTGCATGGAGGGTCACTTGAAATTAGGCTTACAGTTCCTTTAAATGCTGATGTCACATTATGATACTCAGGCTAAAACTGTTCCTTGGTTGAGCTATATAGCTTACACGTAAAGTTTTAAATTGAAGGATTTAATTCTAATTCTAGGGATATTACTTGAAAAACATGATTCTAATAAAGGGGTGCAGGTTGATTTAAAGCAATATTTAATCTTTAGCTAGACAAGGTTGAACCCCATTTATCAACTTGAACTCGCGAACTACAGAAGTGGTTAAACTACATCCTGCTATTTATTAAATCAAGTTCATGGTGGATGAACACTGAATATGCAAATTACGGACAGATTAAAAATTTATATAGATACATACAGTGATAATAAAAAAACTGTAGTTTAGGAAGACGACATTTCAGCAATACTAAAGTGTATTTGATGCTTTTACAAAGTAAATAGCTTTACTAGTAAGTAATTAAATTCCTTAATAAGTGAAATGGGTCTGTTAACAATGCACAATAGTTGTGCCTCATGTTCATTGGACTATTTAAAGTCATAAATTGAGTTTAAAAGTCCACAGTTTTCTGGCTATCACTGTACTTTCAAAGGATGTTGCTTCAGAGACAACTGTACAAAATTTATAGATTCTGTTTTCTTGCATAAAATCATTTAATAAGCCATTAAAAGACTATATTCAAGGCAGAAGACTTAATTTAACCTTGAGATTGTCCTTTCTGAATAGTTTTCAAGTCGTCTTTACAGTCTCATCTTTTGTGGATAACCCTGTACATACTATGATCTCCAGTTTATTTCCAATCTGATTCAGTTTGCCTATAAATGAAATTGTATTGTATCTCTAGGGATGTATTTATATTGTATTGACAATACAGTGTATTTACTCTGCAAACAGATTAATGTTTTCTATGTTTGTTGTATACTGGTTTAGATCTAGAATTATTGGATAAATTGATAAAATCCAGATCCAATATTTTTATCAAAAGGTTAAAACGAAAATGATCTTACACAATATGATAAAATTAGTTCAATTTTGCTTATCTTTTAACTATATTCTTATAGATAATCAAAATCAAACTGACAATTAACAGCTGATCGTAAATCTTTTTTCCGTCAATATCTAATATCTTCTACCGGCTGCCAGAGTAAAAATATTGCATACTTTAATAAAAGCAAACTTGCATAGAAAAATATGTTGTCATTTTTCTAATAGCGTAGATATTTGTGAGTCTACTGAAAACCGAAAAACTATTTATCAATGATAAATAAACTATTATCAATGATATCTATTAAAAATGAGAAATTATTAAATTAAAATTAAAATAGTTGCGCACCTTAGCTGTTTAGGCTCCTCTGGGTCATCGTAATTCTCAGTTTTGTTGCGAATTTGGTGAATTTGATCTGTCTAAACCTTTCATTTATATACCACATCTCATAGGGACATCAGATAGAAATCGTATAAACTGCGATCAACTCCTGACGTGTTTAGGTTTCAGCCTAAACCCCTTTCATTTTTCCTTAACACTCCCTTTAATGTTCCAAATTAAACATTTCATTAAAGTTTCTGCATAACATCCTATTCTTCTTTAGACAAAACAAGTAAAGGAATAATTTGACGCGCAAACTAAACTTTATAATAGGAATTCCAGTATGAAATAATGATCATTCATAAATCAATATTGGCGATCAAAGTTACACAAACTTAAAGTTATATGCAGTGGTTAAACAATGATTATGATGTTTAGTTGGAGGCACGTGTTGATAAACTGAAAACCGGTTCGTCCGGCCCCACCTGCCCAAGCAGCAGACAGATCACAAGGAAACAGCTGATACATTTTATATTTTCTAAAATCTTATTTATGTTTTGAATATTTGCTGGATCAAAGGGGTTTAAATTTTATGTATTGAAGCTTAATATTTACTTAGAAATTGTAAGAAAGATAAGAGGAAGGGAAAGACTGATGTTGGAAAGAAAGGTAAACATATTTTTAACAACTAATCTTTGCTTTACGTATCATTAAAAAGACTGTAAGCGTAATTTCAAGTGAAAATATGATAAATCCCATTTCACAACTGTACCTTTAAATTTTTGACAGATCAAGGTTGTCGGACTTAATCTCATTAATCTTTAAACATGCTTTGTTTACAAGTTTTAAGAATGTTGATATTTACTTTTTTTGGAGTGTTGAAAGTAAATATTTTCTTTTAATGTAAACTATTTCGTATTGTCAAGGGAAACATTTAAGTTCAGTGTTTACGCAGTGTAAACCACGTTTTACAGGAATTCAAGTGATTATCAAACGATTTAAACACAGAGCTCTCTTTACTCGATGAAAACAAAGGTTTGAAGGCTACCGTTGGAAATCAAACATTGCACTCTTTGCATAGAGGGTCACTTGAAATTATACACGAACAGTAACTTTAGAAAAAATCTAATTATTTTGTTTTCGATATCGAATATTCGACCTAGAACGTAGCAGAATAGATGAAAAAAATTTTGAAAATAAATGATGTGAATATTATGCTTCTGTGAAAAATACTTTCACATGTGTTAAGCAGTCCTTCAAGAAGGAGATAATTCAGCTAAATATCTGTTAGCTATTTTATTTTATAAATTCCCATTCTGTTCTTGACACGAATATTTATTGAACAATTTGAATAAATTTTTCATTATACCTTGAATAAATTTAAATGTTTGATCTAACCTATGACAATATTGATAAAGTTTCGGACAAGAAATATTAACATTTTCTTTTATAAGAAATATTCCACAAAGTTTAAATGTTTTCAGGAACATTTAGCTTGTTCTCTAGTTTATGTTTCTGTTAAGTTTGTTTCTTCTAATTTTTTTCTGCGGGGTGCATTGTCATTCAAAAGCCTTTAGGGGGGGGGGGACTTGTTTAATGCCCCCCCCCCTTCTGAATCCCCTTCAGAATCTGTCCTTAAAGACAATAAAGAATTGGCATTACTGTGAATAAACTGTTCGTTAATAATTCGTTAACAGTTCGTTAACAGTTCGTTAACAGTTCATTAACAGTTAGTTAGCAGTTCGTTAGCAGTTCTTTAACAGTTCGTTAACAGTTCGTTAACAGTTCGTTAACAGTTCGTTAACAGTTCGTTAACAGTTTGTTAGCAGTTCGTTAGCAGTTCTTTAACAGTTAGTTAACATTTCGTTAACAGTTCGTTAACAGTACGCAAATATTTTAAGTAGTGAAAATTAAACATTTTTCCTCGTTAGAATTTCTCATTAATTTTCATAAGATTTCGGAAATGAATCTTTGCCTAGCTTTAAGCGTCAAAAAAGTGCTTATTCTCTTTAGGCAGGGACACACTTTTTTAGGCAAAATTTTCCGTTTTCCTTAAAATAATTATCAATTTATTTTTCATCCAGCATTTAATGTTTCTTAAAATAATTATTAATTATTCTTGAACAAAATTCTGTCTGTCACAAAGAGTACGGTAGAATTGTTCACCAATTACAAAAAAGAATCTTTTCTCGTGCAAAATGTTTAAAACTTATTCCAGTCAAAGACTTTATAATTAGTCTTTGATTCCAGTCATTCGCATTTGCTTGCGAACCCTAATTTGATTGAAGTTCATTTTTTTAACGTTAAAAAGCGCGCGCAAAAAAACTAATTTTCTATTCTTTGATTTTCCTTTCATTTACGTACAGGATGTCCCACGAAACATGACAGTTGATAAATAGTTTTGAATATCGTCTTACATAAACTGTATTATGATATTTAGGACTTTTTGCAGTTTATTTCGTTAAAAAAATCTTTTGCTCAAATATATTTTACTTTGAAATCAATTTTAATATAATATGACTCCCATATAATATTTTTATTATTTTCCTTGGTATCAATTAACTTAACAAATTATGGAAGAAGACAATTTAAACTATTTACTAATTGTCATGTTTCGTGGGACACCCTGTAGATAATGCTACTAATTATTGAGAAAATTCGTGTAGTTTCTAGGTCATTGTTTGAAACATTTTTATAGTACTTTTTACACAGGGTCACCCATAAAGAATAAGATTGCAATGACGACCTAATAAATGTATAAACTAAGACTGCACAGTCGTCTTAAAAGTCTCATTCTTGTGACTAACCCTATACTGTATCAGCTGCAGGGAATCTTAAATGTAAACAAATAGTGTCTCTTTGTTAAAAGGATTTGTCTCAGAAAATATTCAATTAAACTTTTTAGATGATTGATACTTGATTACGCATTTTTCAATTTTATTAAGAAAAATTTGACAAGATTTCAAAACAATATATTTTGTAGTCTGGGATTCGACAAAAGAGCTTGAACCTGATTTCTGAGAAAGGAACCACTGGTTGCCCGAAAGTGAAGGTTCTCTCGAAGAAGTGTAAGAACGTAAAGCTAGAGAAGAAGGAGAAGAAGGAGAAGAATGAGAAGAAGGTGAAGAATGAGAAGAAAGAGAAGAAGAAGAATGATGGAGAGGGGAAGAAAGGAAGAGATGGAAAGAAAAAGAACAACAACCAAATCCCAGCCAAACAAAAAAGGCAAAACAAGATTTCAGGTAATATAGGAAATTGTCATGAAAAGAACTGTAGTCGTAATTTACGAGAGTACACTCAAAATTGGCTTCTCTAAAAAAGTAAATTGCGAATTTTTACTGCAGAAAAACATATAATTAAGTGAATGGCAACTTATGGTAGTTAAACTGAGAATGTAGTATTGTGATGACATTTTTTAGGATTCATTGAAGACATATAAACCGTTTTAATGATGTATATTTACTGAGTTTGAGCGCAAAGTCGACGTTCAAAATCATCCATTTGGGTGGTTACGTTTTGAGAATCGGTTTTTTAATTAAATTTTTAAATATCGACGATAAAAAATGTAAAAAAAATCTACAGTGAACTAATTAGATGTTTAGGAACATATTTCTCAATTGAAATTTTCTCAATAAATCAATGTTAGAATCAATTAATTCGTTTTCATCATTATATTGAATTTCTTATTCTTTATGAATTTGTTCGCAGATTTCTTCAAGTTCTTTAAATGCCATTTTTTCAAAAAAAATTCCAGGAAATCTACAGAAATATTTATGAAAAATGAGATATTATACTATTACTTATTTTCGATGATAATAGTTAATTTTTAATTTCTCAACCTGTTCTTAAACAACTAATTAGTTTACTGTAAAATTTTTACTACATTTTTCGTCGTCTTTTAAAAATAGATTCTCAAAATTTGAAAATCGTCCCATAAAAAAACATAATCTATGAGGTTGAATTTTCGGTCTTGCTGATAAATATGGACCGTAAAAACGTCTGATAGTCCTCATATAAATCTGAAAAATTTCTCAATAATACTGCAAGTTCAGTTCTACTACCATACATTGCCGGTCATTTCCTTTAAACATTTTTAAACCTGGAAAAGTTACAAAACCTTCCACACGATTGACGAGATAAAAGTTTCAAGGGTCCATTGTCATTTGGGCACAGCCATCTTTGCATGGACCAGGAATCTAAAACTAGGACTAGACAGGTCCCACATATTTAACATGGGTTGGAACATTTAATACATAGGAAGCTATTCCATACGTTGTATAAATCATTACAATAAAGACGACTTTCGAAACAATTTAGATTTTTTAACAAGCTTTTTATAAATACACATAAACATGGAATNGACAAAGGTTTGAAATTGAGCAGATGTTGAAAGGACCGGGGTAATAAAGCTGAAACATGAGCCGAGGTGGGTGGGGAGGGAGTACACACTGATATCTAACAATTTGGTCATTCTCCAAGCAAGCTGTGACTTCGTTGTGATTGATTCGTATACTAAAACGTGATTAATATAAATAAAAGAAACTAAACACATAAATTGAGGTGTGACTAACTTGCCACGGTAGAAAAGAAATTGATTCTTTGCCTCAATTTATAATTATCTAATTAAACGACCATTTTATCTGATCTTAAAATTTGACTTTTTTAAGCTCTGCGACTTGAGTTTGTGGCAAGTTGTCAGTACCTTTTTGGTTGGAGAAACGAACAGTATTTATTTTCAGATGATGAAGGGATCTGATCTGAAGGTTTGCCAAAAGGAGTCCAGCATGAAAATTAATTGCTGAACATTTCATTGATCTTCACAAAACATTATTCTAAAGTTTTGTTTATTAATGTAAACTCATATTCAGTTTAAGGTTTTCAGCGAACGAACACTTTCGCTTTTTTTCGCGAAAAGGAGCAAAAATAATGCAGGATTTCGTGAGAAAAAAACATGCGACTATTTCGCGAAAAATTGCATAGAAATTTTGTTTCATTTTTCTACAAATAAATGCGAAAAATGCGAATGTTCGGCAAAAAAATTATTAGTTTCCTCAGTCGTTTCGCTGGAAACCCTAATATTTACCCCATCAAGCCAAACAAATAAAATATTCCGAAAAATGAATCTTAACTTTTGAAAAAAGTAAGATTGATCCCTGCTGCCATTTAATTTGAGATCTCTTGTTATTTCAAGCTCCTTTATTAACATATATATAAATACCTATAAATATGTTTTTGGTTTATACGCTTATTCAATTTCTCCATATCATAAAATAGAACCAATTATTTCTTTTTCATCATTACATTGAATTTCTTATTCTTTATGAATTTGTTCGCAGATTTCTTCAAGTTCTTTAAATGTCATCTTTTCAATACAGAATCTACAGAAATATTTATGAAAAATGAGATATTACTTATTTTCGATGATAATAGTTAATTTTTAACTTCTCAACCTGTTTCTAAACAACTAATTAATTCACTGTAAAATTTTTACTACATTTTTCGTCGTCGTTTTTTAAAAACATTCTCAAAATCATCCCTCAAAAGAATAATCTATGAGGATTTTAAAGATTGAATATGCGCTCTTGCTGATAAATATGCACCGTAAAAACGTCAGATAGGCCTCATATGAATCTTAAAAATTTCTCAATAATACTGTAATCTCAGTTCAACTACCATACATTGCCGATCATTTCCTTTAAACACTTTTAAACCTGGAAAAGTTACAATACCTTCCACACAATTGATGAGATAAAAGTATCAAGGGTACCATTGTCATTTGGGCACTGCCATCTTTGCATGGACCAGGAATCTAAAACTAGGACTAGACAGGTCCCACATATTAAACATGGGTTGGAGCATTTAATACATAGGAAGCTATTCCATACAGTCGTTGTATAAATCATTACAATAAAGACGACTTTCGTAACACTTTAGATTTTTTAACAAGCTTTTTATCAGCATAAATACACATAAACATGGAATCAAAGAGACGCTGTCAATTGACAACTTCTCCTTATTTTCTTGTAAACATGTAAATTGAAAAAAGCTTTTTTGAAATCAAAACTTTAATTGAAAAGTTGTCTTCATTATATTAATATAATCGCCTACCACAATAGATGGTCATTTCATTAACAAACTGAAAAAATTAGTAATTTTTAAATAGACCATCTTAAACAATATATTATATTATATTCTTATAGGGAAGGGGTAGGACGTCCCTAAAAGTTCTTTTTTATATGATTTGAAAGCAGTATACTTTACGGGGTACTTTTCAAAGACAGTTTATAGACATTAAAAGATAGCTTTTGTCCAAAAAAATAGCTTATTTATCTTATCCATTAAAGCTTTTGAAAGCCATTCTTTGAAATCTTCTCGCTAAAAAAATGTTATCTTTGAAATCTTCTAGCTAAAAAAATGTTATCTTTAAAATTGTTGCAAAAGAAATGTCCATCTTTGGTCTTGTAAAAAAAGCTTTTTACCTAAATGATTCTGCAGATAATCATTCATTTATTCTTGACATTAATTATCTAGAAACCAATTACCAATAATAGACTAGAAAAGATGCCAAGATACAAAAATTGCGTGCTGACCTCAAAATCTTCTTTAAATTTTGCTTTCTAAAACTATCCTAGAAATAATAGAAATAATGAATAATATATGAATAAAGATTATAAAATGGCAACGTTTTATGCTTTTGATTATAATGACAAAATAGAATTCTAAATCAAGCCTAGTTTTACATTAACTAAGTTTAAAGTTTTTTTAAATTGCTAAAACTTTTCATTTAATTTATTTACATGGAATTAGATTTTAAAGTCTCTGAGGCCTAATTTGATCTTTCTAATCTGGGAGTATATTTTTATAATTAAATCTGGATAGAAAGATTAAATCTTTATTCCAACTTTTCATGGCCTGCTCATTAAAAAAATTCATACCTTTAACTTTCATGGTTAGGGTGTAAGAGAGGATTTTTAAAAAGTTAGAAAACTATGTCGAAAAATTTTCAAAAATAGTTTTTACTTTTAACAAAAATCAACATATGACACGTGTTGTTCTATCCATTTTTCAAAGGCTTTTCAAAGATATAAGTCTTAGCTTTGTAGCTTAATTAATAAAAAGCCATTAACATTTCTGATTTTTTTGAAACACCGACCCGCCATTTACCGTCCCCCACTTTACCCTATGCATCAAAAAAAAAATTTTTAGC